GCAAGCCCGTATTTGGTGTTTTCACATCTGGCCACTGCCCATCCATTGCGCCTTGCGGGCTGGTGACTCTAATTTCTGAGGCCCACCAGTCCTTTGCCCCAAAGCTCTACCTGCCCTCTGTCGAACGCCCCAGGCCCGTTGGCAGTTTACTACAATCGATGAACAGTGCACGACAGTGAACTGGTGGTTTAGGACCAACCAATGCCTAAAATGTGGTGCTCCCAACCACATTGTCTGCTTTTGCCCTGACTACCGCTACGCAACAGGGAGCAGCCAGTAGGAGTCGCAGTCGCTCATGCTGGGCCTTCAGACACAGACAGACAGACAGAAGCGCGCGCTGAGCAGACACCCTCCTATCTGACGGCCCCTATGGCAAAGACTGACGTAGGCCCCCACCCAGCCAGCTGTCCAGAGACCGCTTGTGCTAGGGTCTCCATAGGTGGTTCCCTCGCGGTCATCGGTGATGAGCTGATCACTCATCGCCAAGCTTGGGTCGAAATGAAGAAGAAGGTCAAGGGCAACTAATTTTAGCAGATGTAGAAATTAGTAGAGAGCGAGTAGGTGTGTTAGTTGATAGTGGATCCACGCATAGCTACATTAGCCGAAGGGGATTGCAGAAGATGCACCTCGGCATGAAGGTTATGAAATTGGACAAGCCGGTCGTGAGCAGGTTGGCAAACAATCATGAAATGAGAGTCGAAGAGTACGTCAAAGGGGTAAAGGCATACTTCCACTTGGACCGGGGGAACAAGGTAGAGAAAGTTTTGCACTCCCTCACTCTCTTAGTGGAGGACAGCCTACCTTTCGACTTGATCCTAGGGACAAATTGGGGAGATGCCGCAAGGGCTAACGTGAAGATGGGCGACCATGAATGCTGGCTGCCCAGCCGTCAAGGAGGCAAAAAGAAAATGCGGTTGTTTCATGAGTCCGAAGTAAAGTCCATTATGTCCCTTTGCTGTATGAGTGCCCTTGCGTTCGCCAGACACGTGATCAAGGCCGACTTGGTTTACCAAGTCTTCGTAGCATACGTTAGACCGGTTAGTGCAGGCAAGAAGGAGGAGCCAACACCACCTGCAGTTGAAAAACTGCTGAAAGAGTTCGCCAATGTGGGAGAGACCCCGACAGGAGTAGTGGAAAGGGAAATCAAGCACCGGATAGAAATAGAGCCCGGTAACAAAACTAAGAGCTTGATGAACTGATAGAAAAGGGGTGGATTAAGCCCAATTCATCGTTTTATGGCACATCGGTCCTATTTGTGCCTGAGAAGGAGGGCGAACTACGAATGAGCATTGACTATAGGGGTTTAAACGCCATTACAGTGAAGAACGCACAACCATTACCTCAGAGAGATGATCAACTGGATAGGGTGAAGGGATGCACGTATTTTTCCAAGATTGCCTTGAAATCCGGCTACCATCTGATCGAGGTACAGCCCGAAGATCAACACTAAACGTTTTTTAGGACTCGCTACGGCCACTACGTTTGTGGCCATGTCGTTTGGTTTGACGAATGCCCCTGCTACCTTCCAAATATGCATGAACGATCCCTTTCGGGAATGGCGAGATAAGCCAGTAGTCCAGCAGAACAAGGGAGAGGGGTATCAGCCCGTCGAGTTCATGTCTTGTAGGTTGCCCAGTGAGAAGGTCGTTGCGTCAACGTATGATCGCGAGCTATTCGCCTCGAGGGAGGCAATGAACCACTGGCGACACTATCTCCTAGGAAGGTACTTTAAAGTCTATTCTGACCACGAGACCCTACGCTGGTTGAAAAGCCAAGCCCGGATGACCCCTAAGTTGAATACATGGGCTGGCGAGATAGATCAGTTTGACTTTGAGTTGAAACCAGTCAAGAGTAAATACAACGTTGTCGCAAACGCGTTGACTAGACGAGGAGACTTCTTCTGTGCCATCATCACTTACCTAGATGCAGGCCGAGCTACAGTGGCAGATCAAGGCTGCATACACTGACGATCCCATTTACAACGAGTGAATCAAAAGGGTGCAGACGCCACCACACGAAGTTCCGGACTACAGCGTAACCAACGGACTACTGTTCGAAAAAACAGACAGGTTCAACAGACTTTGCATCCCAAACAACGAAACAGACAAAAGTCTGATCCTGGGAGAGTGCCACGACACGGAGGGTCATTTCGGTTGGAGGAAAACTTGTTAATCTCCTTTGTCCTACACCTGGCTCGGCATGAAGCACAACTGCATTGCCTATATCCAAAGTTGTCGAGCGTGTCAACAGAACAAAAGTTCCACGCAGTCCCCACTTGGCCTGTTGAGGGCACTACCCGTCCCGTCCGCTCCTGGTGAATCCGTGTCAATTGACTTCATGAACACAAAAGTCAAAAGCAAAAACGGGAAGAGTCAAGTGATGGTAGTTGTACATAGATTTAGTAAATTTGCTGTTTTTATTCCGTTGCCCGCCGAGGCAAGGACAAATTTAGAGAATTCTTCAATCATTGGGTTTATTGACACCCACTGACGATTATTAGTGATAAGGATAGCAGATTCACGGGCGAGCACTGGCAACAGTTAACGAAAGTATATGGGTCAAAGCTGACCATGTCTTCCGATAGACACCCGGAGACCAATGGCCAGACAGAGAAGATGAACAAACTGCTCCAGCAAGTGCTACGCATATACATTTGCAATCAAACTCGCTTTCCTTCACACTTTACATGCATGCAAACAGTAGCGCAGCAAACTGGCGACATGCGCCCACTTAAAACTCAGAGATATGGCGAGTTCACTTTCAATGGCTATGGCGACACAGCGCCCAAACAACTCCCTGTTCGCATACACTGGATCACCCTGGATATCCCACACGCGGTTCTCTGAACACACACACACACACACACACACACTGAACTCCAACTACAGCTGTGGCGGCTATGGCCGCCTCTACCCTATCGCTATGGCTAAGCTTCGTCTCTGTGCCCACTTCGTCTTCGGGCTCACTACAGACCTCCTTGCACAAGTCACTGTGGCAGCGCTTCCGCATGGCTCACGCATGAATGAAAATGGCTGGGCGCTGCCTCTTGATTTATACTTTTGCAGCTCGTTGGTCTGGCCCTTTCCCATGCCCGAAGTGCACACAGTCCCATGCGGTACTTGCTTGACTGGACCAGGACTGACTGGGGACCGGGACTGCTGACTCAGCACGGGTAGACTCCACCACTTGACCACTTGCCTCGCCACTTGCCCACTTGCCTCAGTCTAAATGTGGGCAACTTCGAAAGGCCACTACTGGGACCTTCCGGAAGGTCGTGGACTTGGCCTTTCGTGACTGCAACAGCTACGACTTTGACCCTTCTGGACTGTAGCGGCTACGACCTTGACCTTTCGGGAAAGCTACAGCTACGACTTCTAGACCTGACTAAGACTCCTACTCGACAGGTCTACAGATCGAACCCCTGCGACCTCAGGACCCAACGACAGTCTACCACTGTTACAAATACACAGGTCACGGGTTCAACTCTAAGGGTCGACACAGATACTGTACACAGGTGAGGTAGGAACAAGGGATCGAGCCCTGGGATCTGCATCAGCTACTGCGAATTGGTGAATACCGTTTCACTCCCGCCGGCCTAAATTCGAGGTCCTCCGAGAGTACTCTGTCTAAGGCAGGACCTTTTCCTTTCCTATCTCTCTCATAGGCTCTAACTATATCGGGAGCTATCTCTAGAAGTTCTGTTCTTGTGAACCAGCGGTCGTCTTCCGGCTCCTCGTAAGCAAACCGGACTTTACACTGTTTCTGTGGATGACCTCTTCCTCCTGTTCTGAACACATCTTCACCTACAATGCCGTCAATGTCATATCTTTCGTCCATGTATGGAGGGATCATGGACCCCGTCTAGATGGAAACTGTTGACTGGTGACACACGGCAGCAACTTTGATGCGTGAAACACAGGGTAGGTGTGGAGGTGTGCTGGTATCTCTACTGTGTAGTACGGTCCATCCTCTCTGCCCTTGACTTCTAGAACTGGCCACGGTCCTCTACATGCGGCCAGTAACTTCCGCGAGATGTTCTCCTCAGGAGCAAACTCTTTCGACTTGACCCAGACCAGGTCGCCTACCTGAAACTTTGACGGGCGACGGTGCTTATTAGCCTGTTCTATCATTCGGTGCTGGGCCTTCCTGAGCTTCTCAACAACAGTGGCTATCTCTTTCTCATGTTGTATCGCGAACTCCTTGGTATCGGGCGGTAGCGTGTGAATCTGATCCCGGTTCAATCCTTCAAACGGCCTACGTGGTCTAAAGGACTTGTGTAACTCGTTGGGAGTGCGACAGGTAGACAAATGTACGTTATTATTGTACGTGCTGGCTACCTTGGGTAACATCTCGTCCCAGTTGATCTGATCGGGTCTAATGTACATGCGTAGAACTTGTTGTAGGATCTTGTTCATCTGTTCGATCTTACCGTTAGTCTCTGGATGACGGCCAGACGACATCAGCAACTTTGACTCATAGACTCTCACGAGTTCCTGCCAGTTCTGGCTGGTGAAGTGACTATCTCTATCACTAACTATGGACAACGAGACTCCATGTTCACTAACCCAAAAATCGAAAAACTTCTGGATCACTAACTCTGTGCGTGCCTCTGCAGGCAAGGGAACAAAAATAGCATACTTGCTAAATCTATCAACTACGACCATGACTTGGCTCTTGCCGTGCCTACTCTTGACACCGGAATCCATAAAGTCAATGGAGACTGAGTCTCCAGGCTGGTTTGGACTAGGCAAGGGTCTGAGAAGACCTAGAGGGGCACGCGTAGTAGTTTTGTTCCTTTGTCAGACTTTACAACTGCGGACGTACTCCATGCAGTCGTTTTTCATTCCTGGTCATGTGTACGCGTGCATCAGATTGGCTAAAGTCTTTTACCAACCAAAGTGTCCATTGCATCATGGCATTCCCCTAGGATCAAACTGCGGATCTCCTCACTGTTGGGAACGCATAGGCGGTCTACTACGTTAGTCTTCTCAAATAATTACCCCTCTGTAAGGCGGTAATCTGGCTCAGTCTCTGGGGCCTCCTTGACTTTCTTGAGGAGGTCACTATAGATGGGGTCATGTGCATATGCCTGTCTAACTTTCTCTTGCAAGTCACTCCCTATGTCCAGATAGTAAACTATAGCTCCAAAGTAGTCTGATCTCCTACTCAGAGCATCCGCAACTACATTGTACTTGCCCTTAACTGGCTTGAGCTCAAAGTCATATTGGTCTATCTCAGCGGCCCACCTAGTCAACTTAGGTGTCATTTTGGCCTGTGTCTTCAACCATCTAAGAGTCTCGTGGTCGGAGTACACTTTGAAGTGCCTCCCACGCAGGTAATGCTTCCAGTGCTCTAAAGCCTGCCTAAGAGCGTAGAGTTCTCTCTCATACGTCGAGGTAGCAACCTTCTCTGAGGGCATCCTCGCTAACATGAACTCTACGGGTCTGCAGCCATTGTCGTCGTCCTGCTGTAACACGGCGCCTATACCATATTGACGCGCGCTCGTGGTGACGACAAATGGCAAAGACGGATCTGCTACTTTGAGGACAGGGTACTCTATCAACGCGCGTTTTAATTTCTTGAGCGCAGACGTACAGTCTTTATCCCATTGTCAGATTGCCTCTTTCTTGAGCAACCTGCGCAAGGGAGCGGCGGTAGTAGAGAAGTTCCTCACGAACTTCCTATAGTAATTAGCTAGGCCTAGGAACGACCGCAACTCTGTCAACGTGCGGGGCGTCGGCCAGTCTCTAATTGCCGCTATCTTGCTGTCCTCTGGCTTAATGTCATCTCCGTCTAATACGTGGCCCAAGTACAAAACTTGTGTCTTGGCCCACTCGCACTTCTTCGCATTGATCTTGAAGTTAGCTTCTCTCAGCTTCTCCAAGGCCTGCCTCAAATGACCCTGCTGCTCCTGGAGGGTCCTACTGAAGATTAGGATGTCGTCTAAATATACTACGACGAACCTATCTAACCAAGGCCTAAACAGATCATTCATATATCGCTGAAATGTCGCTGGCACATTGGTCAGTCCAAAGGGCATCACTATAAACTCATAATGCCCATAACGAGTTCGGAACGCAGTCTTATACTGGTCATCATGATGGACCTCTATCTGATGATACCCGGACTTCAAATCTATCTTTGAAAAATACTTACAACCCTGCACCCGATCTAAGAGATCGTCTATCCTGGGCAGTGGTTCAACATTCTTGACTGTGATAACATTCATACCCCTGTAGTCTATACACATGCGCAACTCTCCTTCCTTCTCGCGGACAAATAAAACTGGTGCTCCAAAAGGGGACGGACTGGGCCTAATCCAACCCTTCTCAAGGAGCTCGTCCAACTGCTTGCGTAACTCCTCTTACTCTCTAGGGGACATCCTGTAGACTACTCCCTTAGGAGTTCTACTGCCAGGCTCTATCTCTATCCTGTTCTGGATCGGCCGCGGCACTACTCCTGTCGGCGGCTCCGCTAAGTCTTTAAATTCTACCAGCAGCTTGGCGATGGCTGGATCTGTGGAACTATCCCCTTCCTTAGGCTCAGTGACAGGTCTAACATATTCTACAAAGACCTGATCCTCTAACTGCTCCTTCACTAATCGCGCGAATGCGGGAGCACTGAGACAGCAATGTGCCAGCGAGTTGTCTACTCCTGACACATGGAACAGACGGGTGGTCTTAACCTCGCCTGACGGACTAGGGAGCCTACACTCATGCTCTCTCAAGTGGAGTGTGGCCCCTGCTGCCTCTCCCTAATCCATGCCTAGAACTATGTCAAACGGAAGGTCATCCTGTACGAGGAGAGTCGGGGAATGGAGAACTTTCTCCACCTTCCCATCTTTCTCGAGGCGAAAGTACGCCTGGACTCCCTCTACGTAGTCCTGAACTCGCATCGTGCGGTTGTCTGCGAGGACACTAACTATGGGGTCTTCCAACTTTTGGACTTTCAATCCTAGCCTCAACTTTTTCAGCGCTCTACGGCTAATATAACTGCGGGTGGCCCCTGAGTCTATAAGGGCCCCTACTCTACTCCTAAACACCTCTACGTCAACTAACACTAGCTGCCCTTTATTGTCTTTCTTCATTTTGGCCAAGGCAGGCATCCTATCCTTCAATTCCTCTGCCACGCATGTGAGGGACGTGCCTAGAGAGACGCTGACACAAGCAGTCTCTGGACAGCTAACTAGGCACGGGCCTGCAACCTTTGCCAAAGGCTCATGTGGTGTGGGAGTTTCCTCTACGCGCGCGCTCGCTTCCCCACATGGCCTAGTAGTAGGGGCAGTTGCGACCCCTACCGGCGGCTGCCTTTTGACTCTTGGGCAGCCCAACGGGCCTGTCTTTACTTGGGACAATATTTTATGGTATGGGCAGGGTCACCACAATAAATGCATTGCCCCTGCTCCATTCGCTGCTGCCAAACTTTCTGGTCCAGGCCCAGATCTTCCCAGGGTCGGCCTTGTGGCCAACCCGGGTGCCAACCTCCTGACCGTTGAGGTGACCTGCCACCTCCTCTCTGTGGGGACAGACTAGGACCTTGAAGATTCGGCGGGGGACCTTGACCCCTACCCCCGCTTGATGGTTTCCTTGACCGCCAACCCCCTGTGTGCCCGATCCTCGGCCTCCCATGGCCTGGCCCCTTTGGCCCTGGCCTCCTCCTCTACCTTGCGGCCTCCCTCCAACTGCGACAGAAGCATAGGACCTCCCCTGTCCCACGCTACTGTCCTCCTCCTCGAGGCCCCACTCGATCTGACTGTATGGGACCTCACTAGTACCACCTTCTTCCAATGTAAGGATCATGTGATCCTTGGCCCTAACCTGGCTAGAGATGGTACGACCTTTCCACTTTTTACCCTTATCCAAGTCCTTATGCCAGAAAGTGGTAACTAGCATAGACTTCGCCTCATACAGCACCACCTCTCTACTCAACACATCGTATGTCATGGTGGGCTGTTGACTCTTGTCGAAAAAGTGCCCTCTCAAGGGCTCTCGTATGGCACGATAAAACAATTGGACCAACTTGGTCTCACTAACCCCGTGGTCCTGGACAGCTACCGAGTCGTCCATGGCAGCTTTGAGTGCTCTCGCACTCCTCCACTGTCATGAATGGATGGTTTGTAGCTTATCGAAGATGCCTCTAGTGACGTCAGCAAACCTCTCGTGCAAGAGTCTGAGGAAAGTAGTGAGGGTGGTAAGTCTAGAGTATGCGATCATGTTGTGCTCGCAATCTGCTGCACGTGCGAGAGATCTGGCGAAGCTGGCTGCTCAAGGCGTGGAAGGCAACGAGGACTTGCTCCTCGGGGGCAATATGCTGTAAAGTGTTTATACTAGCCTCCCAGTTATCGAAATTCTCTTCCTTCTTCCCGCTATATGGGTCAGGGAACTTCAACTTGACTAGCTCTTTGCGGGGGCGAGTCGTGGCCTCTGTTGAGGCCACAACTTTGGCGGTCTTGATAGCGCCAGCGCAGAACTTGTCTACGCCATCTCTCAGTCTTCTTACTTCGGCCCCGACGTGGCCCACCACGTCACCCGCAAATTCCCTGAACCCAGATCGCATGGCCTGTAGGGTTACTTCTTGACCTTTCCGGGCCTGATGCTCCTCCATCCAGGCCTCACTCAAGATCTCCAAGAAGCCCATCATCTTGTCCAATTTGGCAAAGACTTCTGTCTGGGCCTGCAACTCTTGCCTGCCGGTTCGTACTCGTTCGACCTCCCCCGCTATCCTGCTGGCTTCCTCCCTCCTTTTCTTCTCCCTCATCATCTTCAGCTTCCACTCCAACTTCTTTTCATCCTCTGTAGTCTGGCGTTCCAAGGGATCCTCTATCAAGGCAAGCGCCTCCCTCTCCTCTTGCGGCACATACAGTTGTGCCTCTTCATCTTCTCCCAAAGATAAATTAGCCACCCATTCGCTTATCTTCTTCTCCCTCCATCTGTCATCCTCCTTCGTGCCACTTACTTCCCCTCTCTCCTCTCTGCATCTTCTCTCAAGGGGTTTTTCTTTTCTTCTTCCTCCTCTCTTGCTGCTTCTTCCTCTGCAACCTTCCTCCTTTCTTCCTTCTCTCTTTCTATCAATATCAGCTTCTCCGTTTGAAGTCTCAACATCTCCTCTTCCAATCTCTTCTTCTTCGCCGCCGCCTCCTCCTCACTGGCTTTTAACTTCGCCTGCTTCAGGAGCTCCCTCTTCTCTTTCTCTTCTCTCATAAGGGCGGCAATCCGGGCCTGCTCGGCCTCGGAGGGGGCAGTACTCTTCCCAGTATAAGTGTCAACCATGGTGGAAGGTGCACAACCAGACAATCGGTTCCACTCCTCACCACTTGGGCTCTACTCCTCCTGACTGACTCACCTACTGACTCAATCTAAGACTTACAGAATCCGGACAGGATCCTGTCAACTATGGTCACTAGCCTGGACCTACTCTAAGGCTGTCACTACTAGACCTGTTGCTGATCAGGAGCCATTTAAGGAGATCCCCTGTAACTCCTCAGGAATTATTTAACATCGCAGATAGGACGACTCGATCAGCTGGTCTCTCAACACTTAGACGACTTGTTGTGCAGCCCACAGCTCAGCTTTCGGGCCTACCGTGCCACACCGAGCAGCCCGCCGGTCAGTACCGGTCCTTGGGAGGGTTTGTGTCCTCCGAGACAGTCGAGTCGTCAGACACAGTCTTTAGCCCTACTCAGTCCGGCAGGGGTTTGGTCAACGAGGCCCTATCCTTCATCCACAGAGTTCCTACACCTAGACAGAAGAGACTCAATGCAGAATGAATAGACAGACAGACTTGACTCATCAAGTACCACAGGGTGTGTGCACATCCATAGGGCGAGGGGATAGGCTGAAGGCTTGGCGAGAATATATCGGCTCCAGCTTGGTCAAACTCGTGGTCAATAGTCTTGGTCAACGCCTTGGTCAACGCTTGGTCAACTCCTGCTCAAGCCTGATCAACGCCAGTCAACTCCCGATCAACCCCGGTCAACGCCCGGTCAACGCCTGATCAACTCTCCCGGTCTATTCCTCCGATCAGCTATGGCTGTCGGCTTCCCTTTCATCGCCACCCTTCTCCTTCCTTCCTCCCTACCTCGCCTCCCTTCTATTCACCCCGGCTGTATTCTTTCTCTTTTTTTTTTTTTTTTATCGTCCCTCCCTTCMCCTCCTCGACAATGGCTTCTCTCTCCCTTCTCAGTCTCCTCCTCCGCCTTCTCTTCCAACCTCCTTCGTTCTCTGTGGTCGAGCTCCGCGGCTATGGCCGCCTCTCACTTTGTGGTACTGCACGGCACACTTCACAGGTAAGTGACAACCAAACTTGTATCGCTCATCTCTCTCTCTCTCTCTCCCTTCACCTCCTCGACAATGGCTTCTCTCTCCCTTCTCAGTCTCCTCCTCCGCCTTCTCTTCCAACCTCCTTCGTTCTCTGTGGTCGAGCTC